AAAACTTTTAAGGGCCAGCCAAATAGTTCAGCAGATTACAGAACCAGAAAGCAGGCTCAGGGGCTGGGGATTTAATCCCCAGGTCTGCCTTGCCCTGGGGCGCGCTGAAAGGGCAATTGAGACTGGGCGTGATAGTGCAAGCCTGTAATCCCAGCACTTGGGAGGAGTCTGTAAACAGGAGGATCACTATGAGCCCAATCTAGTAGTGAGACCCCAAATACCCTGTAGAACCTTCCCTAAAAATACAAAATATATATAAAGAGAGAATATGAAATGCCATAGTTAACAGCTGTATTTTGTAACTCTATATGTATAAATTACATACAGCATTATAAAAAAGGATGTTATGAAACAAAAAATGTTAAATTCATTATCTCTAGATGATGGTTTTTATTTTATTTCAATTATTTTAATTTTTGTCTTAACACCATTCTGTTTTCCAAGTTCTCTACAAAGCAAGTTTGGGATGTGTGACATACATACAAGAATATCCAAAGGAGAAAGAAAAGGAGAAGAAGAAATTTAAAAATATAGCAGCCATCTGTCCTGTTGATTTAAGTTTGTCTTAGTTAAAAATTTTTACTCATTTTTAAATTTCAAATGACAATAAAGGAAGAGATTATTTTATCTATCATGCATACTTTTAATTTAAAATTTTAAATCTTTAATAAGTTTAAAATGGTACGAGCACTATATTTTAAAGCAAGTATACTTCATGAAATGTATCTTTATTACATGAACAGTAAAGGTCTTAATATGTTCCCAATAAGCACTCAAAATATAAGTAACATTATATTTACTTCATTCTTTTCTCAAAAGTATGTTTACACACAACTAGGAGCTAAATAAGGAAAACACTAGGTATCCTTACTTATTTTTTATAATATTATAGTGAATTTCAATTAAGGTAATTTTTTAAGTTACATGAAGGCTTAAGTTCAGCAAACAAATGTTTCTAAGAAAAACAACATTCAATCATTAATAGTAGTTATATACTAAAATCACAAAGAAAGATATATTCCTATCACCCCACATAAATCAGTAATTACTGAAGCTTATACTATACACATTTAATAAGACTAAATCATTTAATAATTAAATAACCAAACATTTAAAAATCTTGGGAGCCAGGGAGACAGCTCAGTAGAATAAGCACTTCCCTGGCAAGTGCAAGGGCCTGAGTTCAATCCCCAGTTCTGCCAAAACAAAATAAAAATCTTTCAACTGTTTATACTAAGCCAGATGTTCTGCTACCTAATCTTCCTAAAATTACTCTATTAAATAAGTGACTCTCACTAAAGCTTTTATCCCATACATGTGAGGAAATTTGAGAATATACTATTTCCTGTGTGTCACATAATGACAGCTGGGAATAACCTCTTCAAATCTTAAAAGCTTTACTTTACAGAAATACCCCCTTAAAATGCATCATCAAATTATTAACATCATGCTATTAACAACTTAAGAGAAATTACCTGAAGCAGATATAGCATTTCATGTCTCCGTTCCTAAAAGCTTTTCAATCTTTAAAATGAATGAGACCTCTTAAGATTCTATAATTCGTTATATGTTTTCTCCTCAATACCCAATATAAGTTTTTTCTTTATATGCCACAAAAAATATTTAATGCAACTATCTGTTAGCAGGATAACTTGAAATGTGATATTTCAATTTTAAATTGCTGATATTAAGTTCATACAATTATAATGTCTTCCACAGATATGTTTGACTATAAAGACAGATGCCAAACAACCTTCTGTGTTGTTCTTAATAAAATACTAAGTAGAAAAGCCTTAAGTGAAGGTATGTGTCTAAGATTTTTTTCCTGATATAATAATCTTTTTAAAAAATAATATCCTGAGGAAAAAACAATGAAACAAAATGTTGCTTCTTTGAAAATGATAGTAAAATTGATAAAATTCTAGCTAGATTAACAAAGAGAAAAAAAGGCAAAAACTATCAATAGCCTAAAGAAAACAGGAATGTCACTATACACTCTGTAGATATCAAAACAGCAATGAAAGAATAACTTACATACCCTAGTATTATTAAAAAATTGATTTTTCATTTCAGAAGACTACCAACAAAGGAGAAATTTCACATCTTACTGTTTAAATAGTAACAGTTTAAGTCTAGGCTCACACGATTCCACTGGAGAATATTATTAAGCACGTTAAGAATTAACACAAAGTACCCTCAGAGTTTCAGAAAGTAAGAGGGGCAATGCTTTTTATTGGTGTCATTATCATAACACCAAAAAGGAAGGAGGAAAGGGGGAGGGGCTGGTGGACACACTATACACCAGTATCTCTCCTAAGTATAAATGCAAAACAAGCTTTTTTGGGGGGTGGGAGGGTGTTTGTAGTTCTAGCTATCAAACACAGGACTTAGTGCAAGATAGCCAAGTGTTCTACCACAGCTACAACTCCAGCCCAAAAGGCAAACTTCTTACCCTAAACATTAGCGATCACAGAGGGCAACTCTGAGGTTTGTTCCACAGATTCAATATTATAAAATCAATCATTATAACATATAATGTAAACAACCTAATTAAAAAAACTCACATAAACTGAGAATCACTGGAGCATATGTAATGTGTAATTGTATTCACTACAGATAAATTAACCATTACATTTTAAAGGACTTCTCTATGCAAGAGTAACTCTTTGCCAACAAATCAAACCTTATACTACTTCAAATTTTGTATAGGTATTTGAACTTTGAGAATTCAAAAAAAGAAGAAATTGGAAAAAAAAAATTTTTAATTGGTAAAGTTGTTTGGACAAAATTTTGGTCCTACAATTAAGATTGCTGCATGCACTCTCAATTAGGAAAGAAAACTGTCTTACCATAATTAAACTGACTGTTGGACTTTTCACAGTTAATGATGTTAAACCTGTAAGCCAAGCCTGGCCGCATTCCACTGACTTCAAAGTAAAACCACTGATGATAATGATTGCTGTTTATGTCGGAGTTAAGAATAAGATCATATTCATTTCTGAAAATTGGAAGATAAAGATATCTGATGAAAATTAAGAAAATATTTAAATACTTGTGCATATACAAAGTCAGAACATTTTAAGTCACTTACTTTCTAATTTGAATTACTTTGCGTAGATTCCCAGATTCAAATTTGGAGTTAAACTTCAAAATATCTCCTTCTTCTGGAATGGTGTAACTAAGTATTTTAAATTAAGTATATTAAAATACATTGTATTTAAACAAATAAGTTAAAAGAAAACTATATTACAGATAAAAATATTGTCACATCAATTCCTTGTTATTTTTTTAAAAGAAGAAAAAGTACAAATTTTGTCTAACATTTATAGACCAAAACATTAAAATTTAAGGCTTGTTCTCACATTTATACTAGATATAAGACATTTTGCCTCAATGAACAAGTATCATTTCTAAATACTGATTACATATAGGAAAAGTCTCATTTTAAAAAACTGCATATGACCTATAATAAATAGTAGTAATTCTAATTAACCATGCAACCATAGGTAAATTAAGAGAGCTACATTATAATAGCACCAAAAAAAGAAATACTGCACTTATTTTACATATTTATTATTTAATTAGTATTTACTGAGCATCTACTAGGTAGGGTTATATTCAGTTCTACTGTAATAAAGGTTCTTGATGATCTGGAGATTACATTCTAATAGGAGAAAATTAAAAGAGTTCAAGCAGCTCAATGATTATCTTTAAAGGCCCTTCAGGTACAAACAGTATAGCACACTACACACAGGGTTCTTGAGTTTCTGTTTTGTAACACATTTGTTCTGTTTATCTGACACAGATTTAAAAATACTGAAATAACAGAGATTTTTCAATAATAAAGTACATTTCCCCCCCTAATTTTTTTTTCTTTGCAGTGCTGGGATTGAACCCAGGGCTCTGTGCATGCTAGGCAAGTGCTCTCCCACTGAGCCATCCTCTCACCCAAGTATTATTTAAAACCCAGTCATTAGTTTTGACACAGTCTTATGTTCTACAAACCTTTTAAAAACTGCTTATTTCCTCAAATTATTTTCATTTATTTACCAATATTTAAATACTGAAATGAGGAATCAGTGTTAAATGATTAATGTACAAAGTTTCATAAGCAGCTTCAAAGATCAGGCAGGTAACTTAAATGACTGAAACCGAGTTCATGTAGCGAAGATAAGAGGGAAGTAAGAAGTGTGAGGAATCATGTCCTTCTCAGGAGTGATTATTTATCCTCAGGAAATGAAGACACAGCATGCATTTCAAGACAAATCAGTATTTCATGTGCAATCTCCCACTTTTTTTTTATTTTATTTTTGCAGTACCAGAAATGGAACTAGGGACTTTGCACTCACCAGGCAGGTGCTTATCCAACTGAGCTATCTGTCCAACTATTTTAAATAGTGGTAATTTCAGTTTCTCAAAAAGTACAGCATTAATTTATAATCACTGTCTTACTTTTCTCTCATTGCTGAGACAAAATATCAAACACCCAACAAGTTAAGGGAGGAAAGGTTTATTTATCTCACAGTTTTCAGAAGTTTTAGTCCATAATCAGCTGGCTCCAAGGCAGGGTGGCTTGTCAGGGGGGCATCACACAAGACAAGTTCATGGCAAGAAGAAGTCAGAAAAAAAAACAAGCAAGCAAGCAAAAGAGAGACAAGACTTTTGTCTTTCTGTCCCTCATATTGTATCCAGGCTACTGGAATTAGGACAGTGCCAAACCAATAAGTGGAGCAATTTAGCAATCATACACCCTTAATCCTAGCATTGCAGCAGGAATCAATCAGACACTGTACTCTCAGCCTCCTCCAAAAAAGCCCCACCTATGACTGCTTGAGACATTGGCGTACATCTAGACACTAGCCATAACATTCCATTCCTGGCTTCCCCAAAGACTCATGCACATCTCTTTATGCAAAATGCATTCAGTCCACCTCCAACACTTGCCAAAGTCCTAACACTTTGAGTACTGCTAAAAAGTCCAAGTCTAAAGACTCCTCTGAGATTTAAGGCAAGCTCTTAGCTGTGAGCCACTGTACAAATAAAAAAAAGTTAAACACTTCAATATACAATGACACAAGATAAACACTACTATTCCAAAAGGTACAGTTAAGAGGATACAGAGAAATGGGACCAAAGCAGGTCCAAAATCTAGCAGGACAAACATTAAGTCCTGTAGTTTCATCTAGTATCTGAAGCAATCTATGACAAGATATGAACTCCAAAGGGCTTAAATAGCTCCACCCCTATGACACTGCAAGTGATTGTAGCTCCCACAGCTTCTCTCAGGGGCTGCATCTGCTCCTTCCTTGCAATTTTCCTCATATGATACATGTTCCTGGCTTCCCCAAACTTTTGGGATTTCTAATGTACCTATACTTGCCCACTCACAGTTTCACACTACCCTCTGGGGCATGCACACACTGCCTGGCCTCCCAGGTCTTCTTCTGAAATCTGAGTGGAAGCCTTCTAACACCACAACTCTTCCATTCTGCATACACCTAAAAAACGAACACTACATGGATGATGTCAAGGTCTGCTATCAGTAGGAACAGTAGCCAGGCTTCCTTCTCTTGTGGCTATAGAAGTCTAGTGCCTAGATCACTGAACCCTCTCAACTCAATTTGGAGAAACAAATTTTCTAGGCCACCATGATTCTGGTGGTGCTCTGGGTTCTCTTGTCAAAGAAAATTTTTTCACCTTTGCAACTGTGAGGCTGCAAAGGCTGGAATCCTGCTGGTTCTTGTGATATCCTCAGGCCATTTTTCTGTTGTCTTCTAAAACACTTGGCTTTTTCCTTGCTAGTCTTTTCAGCAACCACTTTTTCCTCTGTTTTTTCCCTGTAGGCCACAGCTTTACTGTAGCTTCCTTTCTGGCCAAACTCAGAATATTCTGAATCACTCTGCTGGGCTTTCTGATCTTGATTCTCAACATAAATCTGGCTAAATGCCCCTAACAGTAATCATGCCGCAATCTCAACATTATACTGCCTTGAAATTTTTTCTGCAAAATTAATTAGTCTGCTGCCTTTAATCTCCATCTCAGGAAAAGTCTCTGGACATGAGCAAAATACAGACAAACTTTATGCCAAGCCATAACACACATGTTCTGGAGTCCAGTGGACAGTGCATGCCCTTCTTCCCAGCAGAAACTTGTGGAGCCTAGTCTTTACAGACATCATTTCTACCAGCCTTCTGGTTTTCTGAGCTCTGACCAGAATCTCCCATCAAGCACAACCTAAGGCACTCCAGCATTCCTAAGGCATTACTTTTTCAGCTAGCAGCTCCAAACGTTTCCTAACCCTTTCCCCTCTCACAAGCCATTCCCAAAGGCTCCTAAACTACATGGTCAGGTACAGTCACAGCAATGACTTCATTTCTCTGGTATCAAAATCAGTATTCATAACTTTCCTCTCATTACTGAGATAAATTATCCTACAGCCATAAGAAAGGAAAGATTTTTTTAACTCACAGTTTGTAGAGGTCTTAGTCCATAATCAGCTGCCTCCAAGGCAGATAGCCATCACAGAGAAGAACCAGTTCATGGCATGCAGAGATCAGCAAAAGCAAGCAAGAAGAGGGAAGACTCTTTCTGTCCCTTATATTGTACCCAGGCTGCTGGGATCAGGGCAATGCCAAACCAATTGGTGAACTAATTTAGTAATTACATACCCTTAATCCTAGTACCCTTCATCCTAGCACTGCACCATAATCAGTCAGATACTCTAGATTCAGCCACCTCTGAGAAAGTCCCACCTATGAGTGCATGAGGTTTTGGGGAAACATCTAGACAAAGCCATTAAAACCCACCTAAAAATAAAAACTTGTGTTATATTCCATTTAAATAAACAAATATACTTTACCACTATATTTCCCTGTCAAAGGATGAAAAACACAACAAGGTTAAATATGTAGCACTGTAATTTTACTTTAAAAATAAAACCAATAAAATGTTTATTAAAAATCAGACTTACTTTGGATTATCTAAATCATATACCACTCGATCTATGATGTCACTCTGATGTATTAGCCTCTCTATATCTTGGGCAATTTTTGTCCTGAAACCATAAAAGAAAGATTTGACTAAATTAATTATTATATGCGAACAGTATACAACCTTCTCCAAAATAAATTTAGAATGAAGAAGTATCATATGATAAAACTATTGCTTTAAAATGGCCAATTCTTGGGCCGGGGAGATAGCTCAGTAGAGTAAATGCTTGCCTGGCAAGTGCAGGGTCCTGAGTTCAATCCCCAGTATAACAAAAAAATAAATAAAATGACCACTTCTTTATGTTTTATATACAAAACGGTATCAATTCATAATAAAGTAGACAAAATAAATATTTATCAGAATTTGAGTTCTAGAAAACAACCATGTAGAATACAACCATTATTTAATAGTGGAAACAAAGGAAAGAAGAGAAGGAGAAGAAAGGAAGGGAGAGAGAATTGAAAATGTCTTTAGACCCTTCCATACTGAAATAATGTAGGTTTGAATTTGATTAACCGTTAGACAGATATTTTGTGTGTACAAGAGGTACTGTAAGAAGTGATAAAACCTGAAAAGGCAGAGATAACATAAGAACATATTTTTAAATTATTTGGCTGGGAATCTATCAAAAATGCCACTGTCTGCCTGCAAGCAGGCACAGGAGCCGGGAGTTTGATCCCCAGGCCTGACCCTGGGGCACACTGAGACAGCAATTGAGACGGGACATGGTGGCGAACGCCTGTAATCCCAGCTCTTGGGAGGCTGTAAGCAGGCAGATCATTACGAGTCGGATCTAGTAGTGAGACCCTGAACACCATGTAGACCCTACCCTAAAACACAAAAAGAAAAAAGCCACTGTCAGTTAACTCACACTTCTGCAGAATCCCCCTATTCTGTGGTGGGAAAGGAGGGAATACTTGGACCTTATCTTCTTCTCAACTGGCCCAACAAAATGAATACTAACTGCGAAAGAAAACTAAAATCTTTGCCAATGTCTTACAACACTCAGCCACTTACAGGATTCATAAGCTTCCCCTTCAACATTTAAGCTGAATAAGACTACAACCCCTATCAAACTGTAGCTCAAAGAGCACAGCCTTGGATCCTGAGGTCAGACACTAGAACTACAGGTAGGCTAGTCATGATGCCCTGCTAGTGGTAGTATGCACCTGGCTACTTCTCATAGTATATTTTCTTTAAGGAGAAAGTTGATTTAAAATTAAAGTTTAAATTTGTTCATTTCAGCTAAAGACAGGCAATTCAGACTAGAACTCTAACTTACAGATTTCTTGAGAGCAGCATAAAAAATATTTCCCCAAATATTTATAATAAAATCTCAATACTTTAAGTATTTAAAAATCTCCTTTTTAGGGAAACTTAAAACTAGACTGCTGCACCAGGACACTCCTCTAGGATTAAGGATATGAATAACATTACAGAATAACCTTAAACTCTCAATATACCAAGAATCTATTCTAACTGAAAAATTTAACACTGCAGGAGAATATTAAAAGGTGTGAAGGTTAAGCATACAAAAGGATATTAAAAGATAAAACTACAATCCTAAAACTTCTGAATGTACTAAATAGGCATAATTTACTTTTAAGTTTATGTTAAGAAATATATATGGATAAACCATTTTATCACAGAATTTATAAATCCATTGATTTAGGTTGACTATCATAACTTTAAAATGCCAAAATAACTTGCTTTTAAGGATTTTTTTTTTTCCACCAAATGCCTTCAGGGCAGGTTTGGATGGCTTGAGTTCTGGGGATCGAACCACAATCGAACCACAGCAACCTGAGCCTGACTGCTTTGCTGAAGCAGCCACTTAAAGAACTGAGCTAAGGGGCAGGACCCCAAAGAATTGATTTTTTTGAACCAGGACTTGAACTCAGGCAATCCTGCTTGCCAGGAAAGCACTTATTCCACTGAGCCATCTCCTCAGCCCTAAGTTGCTTTTAAAAACCATCAACAAGACCCAGTCCTAGCCCAGGCCCAGTGAGTGTGTGGGAGAGCTTCCCGCTACACTGTAGCAAATGGACCAACTGGTCCCAGCCCAGGGGCAGCCTGGGTAAGACACTCTTCCACCCCCTTTGGGATGACCACCACCACTCCGCATCACCTCTCCTAGCCCATCTGCAGAGTAGGAATTTCTGCCACTTTCCAGGAACCACCAGACCCAGTCCTAGCCCAGGCTCGGTGAGTGTATAGGAGAGCTTCCCTCTACCATGCGCCAGCAAGACATACTGGTTCTAGCCCAGGCACAGTGTGAGTGTGACGCTCTTCCACCCCCTTGGGATACCTCCACCACCACCACTCCAAAGCACCTCCCCTACCCCTGCCTGCCAAGTAGAAATTTCAGCCGCATTCTGGAACCCCTAGACCCAGTCCTAGCCCAGGCATGGTGAGTGTTTGGGAGAGCTTCCTGCTACCCTGCGCTGGCAGGACTTACTGGTCCCACCGCAGGCCCACCTTAGGTGAGACCCTCTTGCACCCCCTTGGGACGCCCCCAACCACGCCGCAGCACCTCCCCTACCCCGCCTGCTCAGTAGGAATTTCTGCCGCATTTGGAAACCCCCAGATGCAGTCCTAGCCCAGGCCCGGTGAGTGTGTGGGAGAGCTTCTGGCTACCCTGTGCAGCCTTGAACTACTGGTCCCAGCCCAGGCATAGCGTGGGTGACACCCTCTTTCACCAACTTGGGTCATGCCCCATCATTCAGCAGTACCCCCACAAATACTCGCCCACACAGTAAGAATTACTGCCACACTCCAGGAACTCCCACACCCAGTCCTAATCCAAGAGTCATGAGTTTGTGGGAGAGCTGCCTCTCCCCCCTATTCCACCTTGTCCCCTCCAGACTCAACTCAAGCCTGGCATACAGGCCTGGGGTGAAAGCCTTCAGCTGAAATCCCTGCAGAGTATAGGGACAGAACTAACCAGCTAGCCCAGAGCAGAACATTTTGCAAGAGGGGCAAAACAGGTTTACCTCCAAGGGCAGCAGCAAGAAGGAGCTGAGCACAGCAGCC